CCCTCATGTGGTCAATGCCCAGGAGGTGTGAATTGTCAGCGTGAGCACTGTGGTCCCCGCCGCCTCTCAAGCCGGGCATCAGTGGCCGCACTCAGGGCCTGGGTGGGTCTAGCTGGACACTGCTGTGGCCTGTGTCATTCTCTGGCTCATCCGTCACGGGGTTACCTTGGCAATTGGAGGTGGCAGAACCCCAGGAAGCCTCAAAAAGAGAGTGAGGGAGCTGGTGGCCAGGCCCTGGGGCTCCCTGTCCCCTGAAGCCTGAGCTTCCCCTCCTGAGAAGGAGCAGAAGAGCAAGCAGGTGGGGCTGGGCCCTCTTCGTTGGCAGCCTGTGTGGTGGTGACCAGGACCGAGGGGTCAGAGGGCCTGTCCCAGTCACCTCCGGGTGGCACTGGGGGCTGCGTTCAGGGCTCGAGTCAGGCCAGGCAGCCCTGTGGGGCTGGTGTGGGATGAGGTACTGCAGTGCAGGTGACAGGGATGCAGGAGGCAGAGGGACAGACCAATGGCCGCTGAGGCTGGGACAGAGATGGCCAGTGCGGGGGGACAGAGCTGACCTGGGGGGGAGGTGGGAGGGAGCAGAGGCTGAGGGCTTGGGTCCCCCACTCCCAGTGGCTGCAGCAGGAGAGTCCCTGGGGAAGCGTGTTTGTCTCGGTGCCTTTCTGTCGGAGGAGAGTGGGCTCCTGAGACAATACCCATTTTTATATTTCTTGGAAATTTCACGGCATTCATTTCAGAGAAAATAAAAGCTGTCATTGCTGGAGAAATGATACCAATCAGGGCCTGAAAAGGCTGGAAAATTATCCTCCTAGAGACTGAATGTGGAGGGGAAAATGCAGAATTAAAGCACAAAGAGCCGCTTTGCCCCGCCCTGCCCTCTCTCCCCTGGGAATCACATTTAATTGGACTCAAGAAGGACACGCAGGGTTGAGGAGGACCTGGGATGGGGAGAGATAGAGGCAGAGAGTATCCCGAGTTGGGGCTTAGAGATGGAGAGGTAGACAAAGGACATGGAGGATGGGGACAGAGTCGGCCATTCAGGCCAGCCAACACCTTGTTTCGGCCAGTCCTGCAGGCTGGAGACACCGGGCCTGAGAGCTGGCACTTTGTGTGGTCCTCTGCAAGAGACACCAGATGGACAGGAGGTGCGTAGGGCAGGTCAGAGAAAGCAGANCATTGTGAGAGGTAGGGGGACTGGAATTGGCAAAGCCCCTGGCATCAGGCCTGCCCAGAGACCCCAGAAGGCCCCTTCCCAGCCTCCAGAGTGAGGCCAGCAAGGTGGACTTGGGCTGCACTCAGACCTGTCTCCTCACTTCTCCCCCTCCTCACCCTCAGTTGTACCGAAGGGCATGGGGCCATCGTCTGTGACATCACATAAGGTGCTGGAGATATATGAGGTCTTGGTGTCGCACAGACCGAGCAAAATTGCAGAAAAAACAAATACTTAGTGACGGCTGCTCTGTGCCAGACACTGGTCTAGGAGCTGGGAATGAAGGTACATAGCGCTGTGTGGACCAGCCGGAGAGGTTATTGTGGACAGGAGTGAGTGGTCACAAGGAAGTGGGGTGGGGCAGGAGGGGTGACCCAAGGCAAGGACTGAATCACAGGTGCAGGTGAGTGGAGAGCCCGCACCGAGAGCCCATGGGAGAGAGAGGGTCTGCATGAGCTGGGGCAGCTCAGGCATCACCCACAACATACTGACGACGTGTTTCCTGCCCCTGTCTGGGCAGGCTCCGAGCAGAGGACTGCGGAGCAGGGAGCGCAGGTGGACCTCAGACCAACACCCTTGCTTCTTCTGATGGCCTCCAGGAAGAAGAGCTCATGGTGCTGGCTCCAGCACGACCCTCAGCTCTGCCTTGGGTCTAGGTGGAGAAGGACTGATGACTTTCCAAAAGCTTCCATAAAATGTGTTGTTTCCAGGAGACTGGTACTGCCTCTGCAGGAATGGCTGGATGTGGCCCACTCTGGGCATGGCCTCCAGCACAAAGGAAGCCACAAAGAGAATGTTCAGGTGTTGGAGAAGCCCACAGGTGCCTTCTCAAAGACTAGGTCTCTCAGCAGTGGCCCGGCCAGTTTCCAAGGTGGCGAGATGGCTCAAACAGCCCTGAGCGCATTTCAGGATAGCCGCGTGGAAATGCTCCCTGCAGCTCTCTTGGAACCCTAATGAGCGCTTAAGNGGCTCCGCGCTCAGGGCTCGGGGCGCGCCGGGGCAGCTCGCTCGGCTCCGGGGGTGAAACTTGGCCAAGTTTGGGTTCCGGGGAGAACCTGTTGAAGCCGGGAGTGGCCCGCAGCGGGACGGGGAGCTGAGGACGGAAGCGGCCTCGGGTTCTCGGTCAGGGCCGTCGGGAGGGGCTGCGGTGAGCTCTGCCCGACCCCGGCCGGACGGCGCGGGCCGCGTGGGGAAGGGGCTGGTGGGCCTTCGGGCCACGGAGTAGAAGGAGCCAGAGCCGGGCGAGGAGGGGTCCTGCGGGCTTCCGTGAGGACAAAGTTTGGTTCTTTGTCAGCTCGCTTGAGCGTCTCGGTCCAGTGCGCAGAGCTGGAGCTGGCTCCGGGGTCCGCATAGACGCCTCCTGACCACACCTCCTTCCTCTGGCCTCTGTTCTTTCCCCTCCCCCGCCTGGCCTGGGCTGTAGCTGGTCACACACAGGAAGGGCAAAGGGAAGAGAAACTGCCTTTCAATGAAGGCCTACTACGTGCCTGGCCCCGCGCCTCGGTGTCCTCCGGCTTTCCACAAGCGGCCTCTTAGCCCTGCGATCGGCACGAGTGTGCAGGGAGAGGGGAGGCAGATTACAGGACGAGTGTGCCTGCGGGAGGACGTGGCCACTCGGAGCTCTGCGCCTCCTTCACTCCCCGAGCGGAGGAGGGAGCCAGGCCCCAGGCCAGCGGTTGGGGACTCTGGGTGGCCTCCAGCCTCTCCAACCTACGCCCACGCCGCTGCCCCCTGCGCTTGTGGGCCCCGTCGGGCTGCAGCGCTTCTCTGAGTCTGCCTCTGCCCTTCCCGCAGCTGCTGCCCCGGGGCCATGCGGAGGCCCACGAAGGGGCTGGCGGCCGGGCGCATC